AGAAAATACTTCTTACAGCTGGAGGAAGAGAAAAGGCCCATGCTGGATGGTCCTCCTACTCTGAGTCCCTCCTTACCCCCACAACCCTCACTCTCACACCCTCCTTCCCCCAGGCTCCCATATTCCTTCTTCACATCCCCTTGGCCCTTCCCTGATTTGCACACCCTTACACAACCAACTCCATACCCTGAAGGACCCAGGCAATGCTGGGTAAGTCTGTTAGTATTTGTAAAAAAAACCCCAAAACCTATTAAGTAAGCACTCTATACTTCATATTCTGTAACTGAAATACAAATGTATGAAAAGGTAGAAAATATTTAAATAAATGATATTGTATTATTGTTTAACAGCACAATTAATTGCATGATTAATAATGATTAATTTTAATCACTTGACAGACCTAGTTCCAGCCCACTCAATTAGCCTCATTAGCATAGGGACTACAATTGACAGGTACTCTTTTTCTTTGTCTCCCTTCTTTTTCTGAGGGTTCTTTCCCTTTTTTTCTCAATTCAAGCTCATCTCATCTGAAGTGGGTTTTTCCCATGAAAGCTTATGTTACTTTCTCTTTTTCTCTGTCTCTAAGGTGCTACAGAACTACTTGTTTTTAAAGTTACAGACTCACATGGCTACCACTCTGAGAATAATAAAAACCAGTGGGTCTACTCATTGAGTCGCTTAGTTCTGCCACCCTTATTCACTGGTGAGTAGTACCTTCCTGTGCAAGTAGTCTACTTGCGTAAAAGGACTTGGACAATGTAAAGGAGACAGAATCTGGTGGTGAGATCAAGAAGCTGCAATCTTAAGCTTTGGTTAAATAGCTTTCAAGCATCATTTCAACATGCTTCCTTTTGGACGTCTTTTAACATATCTTTTCTTACACTGATATAACTCCATTGACTTAAGCTGAATTACCTGATTTACATCAAACGAGAGAATAATCTGCCTCACAATTAATTCAATCACTGTTTCATTGACTGAAAGAGCTGATCTCAACATATAGTAGAAATGACATGCATTGAACATTTCAGGATCAAACCCATTCCACTCTCCAATAATATTGCTTTCATGTTTCTCAGTTATCCATAGTTCAGTCTGAGTTCACCTGGAACCTTAAATTATTTGTAAAGCTTTTAAGATATTTATATTGACATTGATATAATGTGCAACATCACTTTGGCTACAGTATATGGTTTGTGCAGAAAGAGGCTTTGTTACAATAAAAGTTAGGATATTAGTTTTATTCACACGTTTCTGAATGTTTTGAAAGACTGGGTGTTTTATTTGGTTTTCAGCTCAATAATATTATCTTGTTGGTTTTACAACAGGTTACAATGTCAATCCATTTTCATGAATTTGGGGGATCATAAATCCTAATAATGTTATGCTGGACTCAATTGCCCACAGTGTAACTGCACAACTGTCAGCAGATAATCTGGAGATCAAACTGGCTCATTACCTAAAAATGTAAACTAAGGCACTGAGCTTGGCTCGCAATTAATAAACAAAATATGTTGAAATAGACATTTGCACTGGGTTTTCTACTTTATTTGAGACTGTGTGGTGAAATTATGGACTAAATTCATCTCTGTTAGCTTCACTGAAGCCAGTGGTGTTGCTTTATAGATTAAGGTTTTATTCACTAGTGTCTGGTCTATGAAATTTTACTGTGGCTGAAGAGAGAAGACATCAATCATGTTAAGAGATATGATGCTGGAAAAAGGGCTGGTCAGTGAAGAACAGGATAAATCCTGTACAGAATCATGTCAGCTATTTAAACTCTCACTGTGGTTAAACCCATCGTGTAGCAGTAAGGGGAGACAAGTGGCCACTCACAGGACTTTAATCACAATTAGCAGATGCAATTGAAACATGGCTTACCTTGATTTGTACTGAGCACTAACCTCCAGAATACTGTACATTAGGAGAAAGGAAAAATGCAGCAGAGATGGCATTCATTATATAGCAACCTGTCATCTGATCTGGAATGGACACTAATGACAAACAGCAAGGGGCTAAAATTAGAGAGTAACCTTTGATGATACCTGCGGGGTCTTTTTATTACACTTTGGTCAAAAACTGTATGTGCCAATAAAGTATCATTATTAAATTGTGTCAGTTAACACTATTAACTGTCTTCAGCCACAGTAAAATCTTAAGGGTATCTTAGACCAGGGATCTCAAACTCCTGACTCACGGACCATCTACAGGCCAGAGTATATTTGCAATCTGGCCTGAGAGACCTGGTGGCCCAAGAGGGTGTGTCTAAACCCAGCTCCAAGCCTCTCCCCTTCCTGCCACCATCCTTCCCTCTGCCCTCCATGGCACCCTGTTTCCCAAGAGACACGGATTTAGGAATTATCGGGAGGGGGGAGGGAGTTGGCATAGGATGGCGGCAGTTGTCGGCACCCCCCAGCTCCAACAAGAAATGGCTTCCTCTGCTGAATAATGACATCACCTCAAGTATCACTGAAATTTTGTTTGGAAAAACTGAATGTTGTTTCTGTTTGCTTAGTGGTGGAGATTCTAAGCACAATATAGTATTTGTCAGACTAGAACTACTTTGATTGTTTTCAGGGTGCATCTGTTTACTAATCTCTGTTCCCTGTTGTTATTTTTTCTTGTTTAATGAAATTGTAGCAAGGATAAATATGAAACACCAGAAAAAGTAATTTATAGCATTATTTTTGGAGTATATTTACACTTTAAAGCACATCATAAAATAAATATCACATTTATTCCCTGGTGTCAGAATCAATACGTGATTAATAAGGACTTGCCTAATGAAAATACTCCAAAGCAATTGTACTTAATAATGAATAATTCATGGCAACTAATTAAATCTGGTGAGGATTCTTTTGATTTTTTTAAAACAAATGGTCTTGTATGTTCACTCCCGTTTACTTATTATGAGCTTCAGAGGACTAGCCGAGTTAGTCTGTAACTGGAAAAACTTAAAAAAACAACAAATAGCCTTGGAGCACCTTAGAGACTAACAAAACATGAGTTATTCACCTAGCTCATGGGCTGATGGAGGTAATTGGTTTTGCAGGCATGGAGTGAGATTTTTGCCAGTCCTTTTGAATTGTGTTATAAATAAGTAAATAACTATTATATTAGGGTAGCACATATAGGGTTCAGTCTGAACTCCCTAGCACTCCAGTGCTAGGCACTGTACAACAGAGTAAAAGTCCCTTCTTTGAAAAGGTTACTTCCTAGAAATAGAATTGTCAAACAATGGTGGAAAAGGGATGTGATATATAACCTTTTGTATCTTATTCTGATTACACTGCATAATTGGTTACCTGGTAAGTATTAGGCTTACCGGAATGCTTACCAAATGACTGACTGGATGGCCAGCCATGCTGGGTGGGTGGAGCCATGGGTGTGTGGGAGAAGCTCCGGCAGGCAGGTGGGGTGTTCAGTTCAGTTGTCCTGCCAGTGGTTAAGCAGTATAATTTTAATCATTTAACTAGTTAACAATTTTAATGAATATTTACATCCCTAAATCAGAGATGGGTGAGCAATTTAATATTCATATAGGGATGTAAAATCCTGTTTAATTAGTTAACTGGTTAAATGTTAAGTTTAACCGGTTAACTGATTAGACAAGAGTGGGTGGCTGCTGCTCCAGCCCAGCTCCAGTCCCAACCCCCACCGTGAGCAGGGGCTGTTCCAGTCCAGTTGCTTCTGGCCCCTTGCAGGGCTGCTAGCTCTCAGCCTGTGTGAGGTAGCAAGTGGCAGCACTACATGGGACTGCTGTGATGCTGAAGCAGCCTTCCACCTGGGTCGAGGTCTGTTCCACAGCTACTGGATAACTGATTACCCGAGTGCGAGAAACAAGTTTCTTCCACACGGGATTGTAAGCAACAAGTAGCCAGAGGCCCCCTGCTTCCATACCCGTTAACACTCTAGCTCGTTGGGGAGAGAGGAGTAGGGGCGCGCGTGCGTGTGTGTGTGTGTGGAGCACGGGAAAGTGAAGAGGATGAGTTCACTGGGGTACAGGAATATCAAAAGTAGTAATGAGTGAGGGAGAAGGAGAGAATTTGAAATGGTGAGAGAATTGGCAAGGAGAAAAAACAACCAGTCTCAACAGAAAAAAGTTGTTGGACATCACTACTCCTGGTACACCATTTGACGGCTCACCAAAGGGGTCTCCCATACAGTACCAGGTTTATGGGTGATGGCCACCCAAGGGTCTAGCCACCCAAGGGTCTAACTTGGCTTCACCTCCACCCTTCTACTGCTTGCCTGCACTCTGAGAACACCAACTGTGTAAGGGAGAGCTGCCTAGTGCTCTGACTTTGGGACAGAGGAGAGGCCCAGGGAGCTCTTGCCCCATTTGGAGGATCTGCAAGAAGGTCCCTGGGCTGGTCTAGGGAGGAGGAAGGGCCCTGGTTGGACTTCAATCCCCTCCCCACAAGGCTCCTCCTGGGGTGGGAGGTGTGGGAGACAGGACTCAGAAGTATATGGTCCAGCCCTGGCTGTCCGACTGCCAGGGGCCTTGCAGGTATCAGAGAACCCAACTGCCCCCTTCTGGGGCTCTGAAGCTCTGTTGCCCCCACCCGATGCTGGTCTTGTATGTTTGTTCTCCAGTTGCTTCCTACATATGGTCTCTCTCCCCGTCCCCCTTCTTCCCCTCCACGCGCCCTCTTTGGCTTCGTGCCTGGGGGCACCATAGGTGTCACTCTCGGCGACGGCTTCCCGCCTCGTGCCCCTGAGGCATCGCTCTCCCTTAGACCTGTGCTCAGCCGCCCCGGCTCGGATCGCTGGCCCTTTGCGTCGCTGCCATTGGGCGCCTGTCACCTCTGCGCCAGAAGGAAGCCGCGGGCTGGAGAGCGGCGGCGGCGGCTGTCTCCATTGCACATGCTGCTTGAGTGCTGCCAGCCTTGGGCAGCAGCTGCCTCCCCTCCACCTCCGCTGGGTGCCTTGGCGCTGGGCGGCGCCGCCGGCTGGTTTGACACCCGCAGATAACAGTAGCCGGTAGCAGCAGCAGCAGCAGGGCGAAGTACGTGTGGCAGGCGGAGTGTCTGTCTGGGGCTGGGAGCAGCAGCAGCAGCGAGGGGAGGGTCTGCGGCTTGACGTAGCTGCAGCAGCAGTCTCGGCCTCTCCGGGAGTGACTGTGTGTGCGCGCCTCGCTCGCCTCGCTGCTCCGGCCACCGCTCGGGATTGTTGTTGTTGCCGGTTGTCTCTGGCTCAGGCAGCCCAGCACGGCCAGGAGTGGAGGGGCAGGAATGTGAACAGTTTGTGTCGGGGCTGCGTGCGTGCGGGGGTTTCCGTGTCAGCCCTGCCACCACCAGCATCCTCATCAGCTGGCTCTGTTGTCAGGCAAGGAGGAAATTGCAACATCTGGGCGGTCACTCTGGGAATGCAACATCGGCTTCCTCCTTCACCCGAGTGGATCACTTTGGAGGTGGAAATACTTCTGCAGTCGAGCCAGAGGGTCCATTTTATAACTGACTGTTGAAAGTGGAAGAGGAGGGGGTGGGGTAGGGATAAAGGCTGTTTTCCCCCCTTGGGATTTATTTCATGGGGATGTGTTCAAGACAAGAGAGGATTCAGAAGGATATTGACATTGTGATCCAAAAGTGCAAGGCGGAGAAGGACTGCCTGTTTGTAGGTGAGTTTTCCGTACCAATTACCACTCTCTTCCGCTCCCTCTGCCTGCTTCAGACGTTTTCCCAGCGCGACATGTTTGGCTGGGGTTCACTTATCCCATTTCGGCTGTCATTTTGCAACAGTTACAGTGGTGGTCTTTGCCAATTAAGTGTGTGTATGAGTGTAATAAGTCCCTATCCTCCCCCCACCACACACACAGATACAGAAGTGGAATGTATCTAAAGCACTGGGAGCAATGCAACACAGAAATGTATCTATTCTGAGCATATGTCACCGCGACAGTCCTCAGATCAGAGAGAGCCCCTCAGTCCACGGTCGTTTTTAATGCGATCACCGAGACTTTTTGTTTGGATCCGAGTTGCTTTGCGCAGTTGACGATGGTGATGGACTACACCCCGGTTTGTAGCTGCTGAGGTTAGGTCGTTGTCATTTGGGACTGTTTAGCTATTGCAGTAGGGGAAATGAGAGCTTTTTGGCCGTCTAGTTCCCTAAATGTATTGATCCACAGCCGGAATATTAGCAGGTCATAAACATACCCTTTAAATTCAAAGCCTTTGTGTATTCATGTTGTTTTATGGTGATCACAATTTACAGTATTTGATTTGCCTGAGCTGCCTAGCTTGTTGCTGCCTGTTGCCTTCACTGGA